GCACCGAGGACCTAGTTGATGTCGTCATTTACCCAGAATGTTATGCGTGTAAATAAAGTGGCTCCGTCCGTGTTAAAATAAATTTAAAAAATTTACAAAACCGACCAGCCTACAGTATTTTTACAGTCTTTATTTTACAGTTAAAATAAATGTTTATCAAATAAAGTTTAATGTTACAACGAATCGTGGATCCTTTTAACTAAAAGAACTAAGAGTAATTAAAGTAGAAAACCGGGAGTTTGGGCTTAAGAGATAAATAAACCAATTGGTGGGCCGAACTTTGGTCACTCCTGTTGAATAGCCCTGATCTTAGTGGTTATAAGGCAATCGAATGGAACAGTTTTTAGTCTAAACCAGTATTCAACAATTAATTGTAAGTTGTCTGCATCCCTGTTTGGGATACTTTACACTAAATGCATTGATTGAATTGTTGATCTTTGACAAATGGTGAAAATAGAGTTAATCCTCTGTAACATCAGTAAATAAAATTTTCCTTTTAACAATAAGAGTTCTTATAAAATCTCAGTGTGCAGTAAAGACGACGTGTTTCCTTTTTTAATCTGTTTTTGCTGTTTGTAGGATGGAGAATAGTGTCCTTGGTAATGCTCTCGAGGGAGTCCCAGAAGAGTCTGAGGAAGAGGAGCAGCCCAAAAGCACGAATATAGAGAGTGCCGACAATCTTGATGGTTGGTATATTAAATTAATTTCAGCTTTCTTTGTGGTTGTTAAATCTAAAACGAATCACTGGATTTTTCAGCAAAGCTTATTGAACCCCCCTACCTAAAATACAGTGGTATATTTTCTAAAAAACGGTGTCCTATTTAACTGACCTGTTTGTATTTATGTTAACTCCATACTGAGTAATCCATGTGGCGCTCTGGTGCAGAGGAAACTAGAGAAGAGCTACGAAAGCAGGTCTATGATGCAATGGCAGAAGAGGAGAAAGCCGAGGTAAAGCTCAAGTCTAAAGACGTGACGGGCGACACCGCGGTGGAAAATGAAAACGTCGAGGTGACGGCGCCGGTCAAACGTTGCGCGAGCGGAGCAGAAAAAGCTTCGAGCTCTGCTTTAGATGTGGAGCAGAAGAGTTCAGTCCTGGAGGAGGAGGAGCCAGAGCCTCGATCTGACGGTGCAGAAGAGTTCACGGTGACGGAGGATCCCGCTCCTCCGTCTGAAGGAAAAACTGGGACCGAAGATGAGACTGAGCCAGAAAACCAAAACGCTGAAGAGGCAGAGGAGGGTGATGATGAAGATTCCAAACCAGAAACTGAAGAGGACCAATCAGAGGGTAGAAATGATCAAACGGAGCACTGGTGTTGATGGGATGAAAAAAAGGGTTTTATGCATGAAACACATGGAGACACAGAAATGTAAAGTGCACTAATGGGATTATTTGCCTTTTATTATTATTATTATTATTATTATTAAACTTGTTTGTTTACAGTAACTTTTTTTTTGGTTCAAGATGACGATGATGATGAAGATGACGATGAGGAAGAAGGAGAAAAAAAATCACAAGATAATGTAAGTTTCATTAATAAAATCAGTTTCGATTATGTCTTCAATTTATGTAAAAAACAACTCTCTTTCAGGAAGAGGATGATGTTGGGAATCTGCAGTTGGCCTGGGAGATGCTGGAGGTCGCCAAAGTCATCTTTAAAAGGTACAGGAGGTCATTTGATGTCTCCGATTATGTCCCGATCAAATCTTTAAACTTTTGTATCTTCATACTTGTATTTTTTTTTTCTTTCTGTCTGCAGAACGGAAAGCAAAGAGGAACAGTTGATGGCAGCTCAAGCTTATCTGAAGCTTGGAGAAGTCAGTGCTGAGTCAGGTAGGATGCAGAACGTTGAGATTCGGCAGCAGATTTTAAGGCTGCATGATGTTGATGTGGGGGGGTAGATGTCTAGATAGCAAGGAGGTTATTATGTGACCCATCGCATCGAAAAGAGGATTAAGTCCAAAAGTGGGATGTGGAGAAACAGGCACATATAGGGTTTTGATTTAAACGTGCAATAATTGCATTTTGTCAAAATATAATGAATAAATGCCTTTATCAATGTTAGGGCTGCCACGATTAGTTGATTAGTCGAAGACTAATCGATTATTAAAATAATCGATGACTAATTTAATAATCGATTAATCGTTTTCT